GAGCAGCGGGGCAGCGGCAGGAAGGCAGCCCCGCCGCTCTGCCTCGGGCGGCTGCCGTCTGGAGAGGCGGGCGGGCCGTCGGGCGAGCAGCAAGGAAAAGGCTGGCGTGGTCCGAGGCTTTCCCTTTTTGTGCTTGGAAGTCGGGGCCTCAGCGTGCGCTCCCGGCTTCCCTGCAAGACCCATGAGCCCTGCATTTCCCCAACAGGAAAACTGAGGCCGAGACCGTTCCCCAAGGCTCCACCGCTTGCAAGGGGTGCAGCGGGGATTTTCATCCAGAAACCTGGGAAGTAGGGAGCAGCCTTTCCAAACCAGATTATTGTTAATAAAACTATCTCGAGGACGGAACGGTGCCGCGCCGGGCCCACGCTGGTGGGTCCATGCGCGATCGTTTCCCCGCCTTGAAAGTGCTGGCCAAGGTCTAAAGAAGGCATTGGTGTGGTGACCTCGTTCCCACAGCATGGGCCCCAAAATGAGAACCCCCAAATTTTATGTTTTCTCTAGCCCTTCTAGATCCACTTGCTTTTATTTCTCAAATCCTAGACAGCCGTGGGGGTGGCTTCACGGATGCAAGACCAGGGTAAAGATCACAAGGTAGGGGTGGTTTGGGGGAGGGTCAGCCTGACCGGACTTTCAATTCTGGTTCTCTGGCTCCCTAGCTATGTGACCTTGGGCAAGAAATAGCCTCTTTGAACCTCAGCTTCTCGGTCACTAGCTAGAATCGGGGGACCCTAGGGGTCCTCCCTTTGTAAGGTGGTGTGAACTTGTATGGAGGGCAACCGAGAGCCTCGGTCCTTACCAGACCTCAGTAACACCGGCGCAGTCCCAGGTGCTGGGATGTCCAGTATGTTCCAAGGCCTCCTCGTGTCTGGTCACAATAATCCCAAAGGCGCCCCCCCCCATCCCACCCAAACTCTACCGTGGCTCCAGCCACTGCCCCTCCCATCTCTCTCCAAAGGATCCTTTCCCTGGCCCAGCCTTGCATATATAATTCATTTCTTAAACTTCGGGAGCGCAGAGGCAGCGATCTTCCGTTTGCATGAACCCCGCAGCGTACTCTGACCAAAAGCTCACTTGAAGCTACTACCCTGTTAAGGGTTTTAATTCCGTCCTAAGAAGGAACCCAGGTGCCCAGACATCAGAACCTGGCTCCAACCAGGGGTTTCCCAGCATGCCGGGCTGGGAGATTCCATCCGGGAGGGAAGCCAGAGGCCCCTTCCCTGGGGCGAGCCAAGGCACCACTCATCTCCCTCAGAGGTGATCCAGTGATGGGAAGGGGTGGCTACGAGGCCCCCCTTTCACAGCCCTTCCTCCCCCAGGCCATGGCCCTCCCCAGAGGTCCCCCCTCTATTGCCACCCTGGTCCAACCACCTGGCCAGTTATTTCTGGCCAAAGGGAAGGAGAAGTGAAACCAGATTGGGGGGGTTGTGTGCGAGGCAAATCCCCAGACTAAGTCCTCTGGGGCTGGCCACACCCTGTGGGCGGCCCTCCTTCCCTTCCCAGCCCAGCCCCCGCCCTCACCCACCCCCTCACCGCTAGTCCCAGCCCTAGGACAGGGCAGGCCCTGGCCACGCCTAAGCTGCACCCGAAGGGGAGAGAGAAAGGGGAAGTAGTGCTCACTGCCCTGCCTGTCCAGCTCAGCCCCTTCTCCCACAGGAAGCCGGGCCCTTGAACCTGAAAGGGCGACCGCCTCCCGCCTTTACTCACCTGAGCCCTGGCAGGGGCTGGGGCCTCTGGAGAGCTGACAGCCCAGCTTCTTGTGGTCCATGAAAGCAGTGATGGCCTCCAACGGGAAGGTCTGCAGGCAGCGGCCGCAGGTCAACAGATCGGGGTGTTTGTCGGTCCAGGCCTGGCGGTCTGCAGGGAGGAAGCGGGTGGTGAGCATGGGGTGGGGCCAGGATGGGGGCTGGGGGTTCCGGGGGCGAGGGGAAACCCGAAGGTCAGAAAGGGGCTGGAGGCCAGCCCGGGAGAGGGAAATAAGAAGGCAGGGGCGGGAGGCTGGGGTCGGGGGCGCGGACGAGGGGGGTCCCCCCCCCCCCGAGGGCAGGAGGGAGGGAGGCGGCCGGGGGCCGGGGCGCTCACCCGGAGGGCTCGTGGTGAGTGGCGTACACAGCCACTGGCTCCGCACGCCGGGGCCGGGGGCTCCGAGCCCGGGCAGCACGCCGAGAGCGTGGCGGGGCTCGTCCTCGAACTTCCCCGCCGCGGGCACTTCCTTCAGGTTGAAGGGCCCCAGCCACGGGGCCTGCAGGGGCCGCGGCTCGGGCTCGGGCTTCACCTCGATGATGAGGTCCGGGATCTCCATCTCGTCGTCTGTGCCGGCCGCGGGCTCCGGGTCTACTCGGCGGGGCGTGCAGCCGGCCTTGCGGCGGGACATGGGTCGCGGGCCGGGCGGGCGGGCGGGCGGGCGGAGGACTCGCGAGCCGGCGCGCTCGGGCCGCGGCTCTCAGGTGAGTGACTGCGGCGACCCGCCGCGAACTCTTACACGTGCTGGCCCGGCCCGTGGCCCCGCCCCCGGGGCGGGGCCTGGCGGAGGAGGACGGGGCGGCGACGGGGCGGCCCCGCGGGGGCCCCGCGGGGGGCCGAATCCGATCGAGGCCGTGCCGGGCGTGGGGCTCGGGGGCCGGAGCTTCGTGACCCGACTGTGCGTGGAAACAGCAGTTTCTGCTCCCGTTTTAAGGCCCGGGGAACGTCGCGCGGGCTGTGCTCCCTCCCCCGAGCCCCCCCACCCCCCTCCCCGCCGGAACATGGTTTCTAACTAGGCACCTAATAGTATGGAGTAAATGCTCCATTAAATGCATTACAATAAAAATTCACTGGGCAAACATACTGAGCGCCCGAACAAAACGGACAATGCTGACCTCAAGCAGTTTACTCGTTGGAGGCCTCAGCCTCTTAACAAGATAACTATGCAAAATACGGAATGACTCCTAGGATGGCCAGTGCAAAATAAAACTAGGACGGCTTTTAAGTGGACGGGATTACCCGGCTAGGAGCTCTCCATTTTCCTTCCTCGCTGGGGAAGGGCTAGGTAGCGTTGAGCCCTGAGGGAGGTGACCGGAAGCCAGCCTGTGCAATCAGAAATAACAAAGGGGGGTGCTAGAATACAGGGTCAGAAAATGGGGGCAGACCCAGGAGGGTTTGGACCACTTTTAGGTCTTGGTTTTCTGAGACCAAAGCCTTGGGAACGTTGGCGCAGAGGAGGGTTGCGATGCTATTATTCTCTCTGCTCTTAGACCTAGCATGGCTGTGGAAACCAAATAGCCAACTGTCTTCCTCCCTCCACCGGGGCCTCCTTGAACTTCCCTCCTCAAAGCAATTCTCTCTGCTCACTGTTTGAAGTGGCATCAACACCCTGCCCCACCCTCCAGCTCTCACAAGTTTTCTTCCTGGCACCAACCACATCATAATATAGAACTGTTTTTGACTGTCCTCTCCCTCCCTCTCCACCCCCTTCATTCTATACAAGCCCCCCAGAGGCCAGGGTCAGTCCCGCCCCCCCTAGTGTCCCCAGCCCAGCACCGAGTTAATTTCACATGCTAATCTCCCGGAGGGTTGCTCCAGGCCTGAGGGTTCCTCATATTGTTATTCAGGTCTCAACCCAATTGTCCTCCTGAGAGTAGAGGGCCTCCCTGACCATCATATCTAAAGTAGCCCCACCCTGTGAAAGCCTCACGATTTACACTCCATGACCTCCACTTGTTCCCAGTTTCCTCCTGGGCCTCAGTTTCCCCATCTGTTAGCTGAGGTGGCTTCTTCAATGTCACCTTTTCTGACCACCCGATTGAAAAAGCTCCCCCAACCCTGTCCATCATTATCACATTACCCTCCTTTGATAATCCCTTTACATCTCTCATCAAGCTGCGAAGGATCTCTGTCTAGCCTATTCTGTCCGTTCCAGCCCCCCTAGAATGTAGTTTCTGAATGGGCAGGAGCCCAGTCTGTCTTGTTTACAAATAGAACCCGAACAAGTTCATGGTTCAGGGGACAGCTGTATTGAACCGTTATGCATTCTTTAGATGGCTGTTTGCAGGGGGCCAGACACTGGGCCTTGGGAATCTAGTGGGAAGCAGAGGTCCACAGGGCGCCCTCAGGGGAGAAATGAATTGCCCGAGCTCAGAACAGCAAGGTGTTGCAGCCCTCAGGCCAGACGGTCAGCCCTGCAAGGGCCTCTGTTTCCGCCTTTGCAAAATACGGCTGCGAGGTGTGCTGGCAGACAAGAAGGCCGCCCGGGTCCACCCGTGCTACTACCCTCCGAGCTTTCTTTTTCAAGCGCGGCTTCTGAGAGCAAGATCTCCAGGTTGGGGTCGGGGAGGCGGCGTGCAGACTGGAGGGGAGGGGTGGGGTCTGCACGCGGAGAGAACAGGGTGGAAAGACTAAGCGGGAGGGGGTAGTCCCCCGCCCTCTCAGCCTCAACGTCTTCCCCTGCAAAATGGGCGTCCTGGGCGCTCCCCCTCGCAGGCCGGGGGCCAGGTCCAGGGCTAAGCCGGGCCGCCCGCGAGCGATGCCGGAGGCGCGCGCCTGGGCCACCCCGGAGCCGCCCGCGACCACGTGGGGCGGCGGCGGCGCGGGCGGAACGCAGGTCCCGCGGCTCTCGCGGCCCGCCCGGGCCTCTGCCGCGGGGGCGCCGGCGGAAGTGGGGGCGCCGGCGCCGCGGACCTCGGTGAGTGCGGGGCGTTGGTGCCGGGCCGCGCGCCGGCGCCGCTCCCTGGCCCCGGAGGCGCCGGGGGGACGCCTGCCCGAGCGGAGGAAAGCGCGGCCTGGACTCCGGCCCCGGGGCCGGGAGGGACGCGGCGGGGGGCGGGGGAGGCGCGGGAGGGCGCCCTGCGCCCCCTCTGGGGACTCGGCTCCGCGGCGGCCGGGCCCGCGGTCACCTCCGCGCGCGCCGCGCTCGCCTGGGGTCGGGTGCCGGGAGCCCCGAGGCGGCCGCCAGTCCAGCCGCAGCGCCCGGGCGGGGTGGGGAGTGGACGCCCGGGGGCCGGGAGGACCCACTTAGTATAAGAAAAGGAGAGCGATGGGTGGCCAGGGTGGAAGCAAGAGAAAGCTGACCCGGCCAGGGGAGGGGGAGGAGTCTGTGTTTGGGGTGCTGACCCGATCGCGAGGCTCCATTGCAGTCATTTGCATCCAGATGGGACTCCTGGGTGGTGGGTGGACCTGGCAGCACCTTGGTGAATTAGGTCTGGGACCTCGCTGTTTACCGGATAACTCAGCAACTGGCGGCTGTGAAGGGCTAAATGTTTGTCCACTGAGCGCTCATTCCCGTTTTCTTGAAAGTGGACAGCTGAGGCCCCCAGGAGAAAGACTCTCCCCTGCCATTGACCTGAGTGATGGGCTCTTAGATAAGTCGAATTCGTTTTTTCTGGTGATGGGGGATGGGTCTGGACATTTTTCCTGGAATCTTTGAGCAACAAATCCTTGATATGGAGAGTGAAAGGATAAAGGACTCCGGGGCCTGGTCACCAGGAAAATGGATCATGCCTGCCAGGACACACCCTAGGTGACCTTTCCTCTGACCGGTTTCTTATCAGGTCACACCTTGGCTCCCAAAGCTCCAGCTGCTCCCCCACGCTGGCTGCAGAGGGCTGGGGTGATGGCCCAACTCCGTTCACCCCAACCTGGTGTTGCTTTCTTTTTCTGCCACGCAACAGCTTGCACCAGTAGATGATTGGATATAGCCCAGCTTTAGTTACCTCTTCGAGAAAATTGGGATTGCACTGCCTCCCCCCCCCCATGGAGGAAAAAAAAGTCCCTACTGGCCCACCCTTAATTTTGTTGTATCACAGGGATTTAACATAATTCTTTGGCCGCTGGCTTAATTGCCATCAGTCCTTTATTAAGTGCTAGCTCTAGAGACGGGTATTTCTCTCCCTAAACACTCCAGTGTAAGGAGGCTGGGCAAAAACACTGGGGACTAATAACCCTCACTAAACTTGGAGTAAATACTGGGGACTAATAACCCTCACTAAATTTGGAGTGAAGTGGACACATTAATTCTAAAACTTGTATATCCCTTAATCTCATTCACAGAAGTAACCTTCTGATTAACTGGAAAATGTCAATATCCTTTAATCCCATTAACTGGCCATCGCCAAAACCTAGGGAGTCTTGGCAGCACTCGGCTGCCCACCTGTGACTATGCAGTTGCTTCCTTTCACCAACTCTCTCCCTCCGCAGGGCAGCAGCCTCCCTGCCTGCCCGTGACCTGCCCCATGCCAGGGCTTCCCTTCACTGACCTCCTTCAGCGGTGGCCGCTCTCCTCAGGGCTATCCACCTGCAACCACGCAGGCCTCTCAGCAAACCTGTCCCTTTCGGGGCAGCTCTTCCTGCCCGCTTGTGTCTATGCAAGTGTCTTTTGCTATCCTATCCCTTTTCTAATAATCCTGCTCTTCATATATGTATATATATATATATATACACACACACACACACACACCAACCTTGGGAGTCCTCCTGGACTCATCGGATGCCCTGAAACCATCAGTAAATAGTGAAAGCTCTCATCTCAGCCTTCAGAACATACCCTAATCTGATCACTTCTTCTACCTCACTGGCCCCACCCTTATCTTTCATGACTAGTGTGGCTTCTGTCTGGGTTTCCTGCTTGTCTCTGTCCTCCACAGTGCTGCAGACTGAGGGATCCTGTGAAAACTGGTCAGACCCTGACACTCTTGCGTAGAGTTCCCTTGTCTCCCATCTCACCCAAAGTTCTCACAAGGGCCGTCAAGGCCTCTGCGTGATCTGCCCCTGCCCCCACCTCCTCCACGATGGCCTCCTTGCTCCTCATCAAAGTCACCCTTCCATGAGATTTCACTTACTGTGCTTTTTGACTGGAATACGTCTTCCCCACATCTCGTCAGGACTCAATTCTGTGACTTGACTCAGGTAACCTTATCAGGGAGATCTTCCCTGAGTACTCTTTCTGGGAACTACCTCTTGCCTCCAAGGCTGGTCAGGTGTCCCCTCTGGGTTTTTTTGTCTTTTTTTTTTAAAGAGCAGGTTTATTAGAAAAGGGACAGGACAGTAAAAGACACTTGCATGGCTTCTCTTCACTGACCTCTCTCAGCAGAGGCAGCTCTCCTCAAAGCCCTCTGGCATCTTGAAGCCCCCAGGTTCCTTCATTCCAGGCTGGTGCACTCTGGATCCTCACTGTCTGGGCTGAGTCTTTGTCACCCTCTGGACTGTGAGCCCAGCTGGGCAGGGCTGGGTTGTTTCACTGAGCTGCGTCCCCAGCACTGCCCAACACGGGGTGGACACAGAGGAGGCACTCAAATAATGGGTGCCGATAATGTGGATGGGTGAATCTTAACATTCCTGCAACCAGCACTTAACTGAATTGCTCCTGTTTCTCAGGCCCTAGGTGGGGTTGGGAATGGAGTTGTAAAGATAGAGGACCCGTCTCTTCTCTCACAGGCTTCTGTTTCGTGGGAGGACAAACAGCATGTAGGTAAGCAAGCAAATAGATTACCAGAAGTGACTATGAAGAGAAGATGATGCAGAGTAAAAGAGTTACTGCTTCCCCCCTGAAAAGGTAGAAATTTGAGCAGCAGCAGCCTGAGAGAAACAAGGGAGGAAGATGAGCATGCAGCTGGAAATGTATATATCTCCCATCTAGAAGAGGATTCCAGGCACTCAACAGCAAGTGCAAAGGCCCTGAGGCAGGAATGTACTTGGCTCATTCAAGTAACAATAACAGTGAGGAAGGCTAGAGGCATGGGAGATGAGGTCTGGGAAAGCATAGGGTCTTGTGGCCATTTTAAGGACCTTGGCTTTTGCAACAAGAGAGGGGACAGCCATGGAGGCCTCTGAACTGAGGAGGGGTTATGATCAGACTTAGTTCTCAGAGGATCCCTCTGGCAGTCGAGTGGGGTCCAGACTGTGGGGTGGAGGTCGCAGCTGGGAGCACGTTGGGGTGAGGGCCCAGGAAGGGGCAGAGTGGGGAGGTCAAAAGTCACTGGATTCTCAATGTGATTTTTTAAAAATTTATTTATTTATGCATACAAGAGCTGGGGTATAGGCCAGAGGTGTGGGGGGTGGTGGTGAGAGGATTCACAAGAGACAGGGTGGGGAACAGAACAGGCAGACTGAAATACACTGCTGAGGGGAGCAGTGGGCGAGTCAGGAGAGGTCTGCTGCACCATGGGGTTGCTCCCTGGCTGGCCGGGGATCGAACTCAGGCTGCAGATTGCTTCACAGTGCGGTGCTTTAGCCCCTTGCGCCACCAGGGAGGCCCTCTCAATGTGATTTCGAAGGTGGAGCTGACAAGGTTTACTGATGGATTGAATGTGGGTGGGAGAGAAAGTAGAGTCCAAGACACTGTGGGATCACCAAACTCCTTTGCCCAGCAACCCTTGGGGGGCTTCTTTTATGCTTCATTTCGCAGATGAGGAGTCTGAAAAAGGAGGAGGCTGCTTATAGGGTAGCAGGAACCTCCTTGGAGTGAGTCTGAGAGGGCTGGGAACTGTCTTCTCCCTAGTCTGTGCCCCTGTCCTCTGCCTGGTGGTAAGCTGTAGCCAGTTGCAGCCTTGTTAGCTAAGAGTGGGTTTTATACTTCTAGGTGGTTGGAAAAGTAAAACTTTGGTGGTGTGTGAAATTCACTAAAATTCAAATTCCAGTGGCCTCCCAGGGGAGGATCTTGGCTCAGGGCCACGTTTATTGCTCACCTGTTGCAGGGCTGCTTTCCTGCTACTGTGGCAGAGTTGGGGAGTTGTGACACAGACCCTATGGCCGATAGCCTAAACTGTTTACTCTTAGGTCCTTTCCAGAAGGACCTCAAGAAGGAATTTGCTGACTTGTGCTTGTAAGGATTTGTTTTGAGTCATCAGTGGAGGTGTCCAATCCGTAGGACTTGACAGCTAGTTACAGAGGTGTTGGGAAAGTCTGGGACAGGGGCAGAAAGGGGTTGGGGTGTAGGTGACATTTTTTAAGGGACATGGAGGAATTACAATACACCCCTTTTTAAAATGAAGATTTACAAGTTATTTGGAATAACTTACACAAATACATGGTACTGAATCCAAAAGATACTAAAAGGTGGACAGCTAAGAGTCCAGCCCCACGCTGCAGCCTTGCATTTGGAGTAGTTGACTAAGCTTTTGCTGTTTTCCTGGGGCCCGTGGAACCGTTCTCTTTGAGGCGCTCCTGATTGACACCCCAAATAGAATCACAAAGGATTTGAAGGTGTTTCTCCAGAGCTGTGCCACAGCTGGCCTTTTTTTTTAAAACAGTTATTTGGGGCCTCCCTGATGGCGCAAGGAGTTAAGACGTAGCACTATGAAGCTATCCACAACCACTGCAGCTTGAGTTCGTCCCCGGCAAGGGAGGTGACCCACATGGTGCAGTGGACCTCTCCCCTATCTCGCCCACTGCTCCCCTCGGCAGTGTATTTCAGTCTGCCTGTTCTGTTCCCAACTCTGTCTCTGATGGATCTTCTCACCCCCCACACCTCTGGCCCGTACCCCAGTTCTTGTATGCATAAATAAATACATCTTTTTGTTAAAGAGGTGCATAAATAAATGAATCTGTTTTTTAAAGAGGTGCATAAATAAATGAATCTTTAAAAAAAAGATTTATTTATGCATATAAGAACTGGGGTACAAGCTGGAGACACCGGGGGTGAGAGGATTCACCAGAGACAGAGTGGGGAACAGAACAGGATTGACTGAAGTATACTGCTGAGGGAAGCAGTGGGAGAGACAGGAGAGGTCTGCTTTGCCATGTGGGTAGGTAGCTCCCTGGCCTGCCTGGGATCTAACTGGTGCTTCGGTGGCTGCAGATAGCTTCATAGTGCTGTAACTTAACCCCTCATGGGCCTTTTTTTTTTTTTTTTAGTATTTTTTTAAGATTTATTTATGTATACATACAAGAACTGGGGTACAGGCCAGAGGTTTGGGGGGATAAGAGGATTCACCAGACACAGAGTAGGGAACAGAACAAGCAGATCGACTGAAATACACTGCTGAGGAGAGGAGTGGGCAAGTTAGGGGAAATCTGCTGCGTTACGTTGGTAGCTCCCTGGCCAGGGATCGAACTAGGTGCTGCAGTGGCTGCAGATAGTTTCATAGGTTTTGTCTTAACCCCTTGTGCCAAGGGAGGCCCTATTGGCCTTTTGAATCTTCCTTGTTCTGAGAAGTGAGGACGCCTTGAGCTTTGATTTGCGGTTCCCTGGATCCCAGTCAGGGTGTGAATCTGTTCGTTTGTTCAGTTTACAGCCTCTCCACCTGCATCTGTCTCCGCACTGCTTCTCAACTAGGGGCGATCTTTTATTCCTCAGGGGACATTGGCAATCTATGGAAACCTTTTTTTGGGGAGAGGGATTATAAAATGTAATTTTCCTTCTAGACTTTAATCAAAGGAGACATTTTTTTGGTTGTCGTATCTCGGGATGGGGGGCACTACTGACATCTAGTGGGTAGAGGCCAGGGATGCTGCTCAAATCCTACCCCTGTGCCCAGGACAGCCCCCTATAAGAAAACTAGACCACGATCCAGTTCCAGAGTCACAAGTGAGGCATTGACTTCCACAGTCCACGCCAGCAGTAAGAGTGACTGGACCCGGATGTCAGCGATAGAGTAGGGAATGTCAGATTGGGAATTGATAGGATTCCACCACCTCCTCTTTCTCTTTTGGGACCTTAATTTTTTTTTTTTTTTTTAAAGATTTATTTATTTATGCAAGCACTGGGTACAGTCAGAAGCGCGGGAGGGTGAGAGAATTCACCAGAGTGAGAGCTGGGAGCAGAACAGGCAGAAGGACCGAAGTACACTGCTGAGGGGAGCAGCGGGCGGCAGGAGAGGTCTGCACGCCATGTGGGACCCTCCTTCAGTGGCCGGGGAGCTGCCGGGGATCGAACCGGCGCTGTAGAGGCTTCGGGCAGCTTCGCAACCCAGCGCTCAACCGCTGCGCCACCGTGGAGGCCCTGGGACCTTAATTTTTAAAAAATCCAGGCTAATTTTTTTTGTGTGTGTGGACTGTTCCTCAATTTGCATCTCTTCAGGATTAGATTCAGGTGATCCATTTGGGGCAGGAATACCACAGAAGTGGTGCCCTGTGCTCAGCCTATCAGGAGACAGGACATCTGGTTGCCGCATTATCAGCCATGCTGATTTTTGTCCCCGAGCCAAGGTGTTATCCCTAGGTTCCTAGGTTTCTACACTATAAAGTTAGTGTCTGTAACTGTCATGTTAACATATGAACCGTTGCAAAATTTTTTTAAAGATTTATTTATTTATGCATACAAGAGCTAGGGCACAGGCCAGAGATGCAGGGGGTGAGAGGATTTACCAGAGACAGAGTGGGGAACAGAACAGGCAGACTGACTGAAACACACTGCTGAGGGGAGCAGCGGGCGAGACAGGAGAGGTCTGCTGCGCCATGTGGGTTGCTCCCTGGCCGGGATCAAACTCATGCTGCAGTGGCTAAGGATAGCTTGATAGCGCTGAGACACTTTAACCCCTGTGCCACCAGGGAGGCCTGGGCTTCATTCTTGCAGCAAATATTTGTATGGTTGGAGACTGGGAATAAAACTGGGATAAAAGTAGACAAAAGTCCCTGGATCTTATGAATGACTGCCACTTCCTGGGAAGGGGGACTGGTACAAATTTTAGGAGGGGAAATCAGGAATTGGGTTTTTAACAAATTAAGCTGAGAGGCGATAGAAAAGCCTCCGTTCTCTGTCCTCCCTCAGTGATTTCCCTGCTCTTCTTCATCCAACAGCCAGGACAATGCAGACTCCGCTGACCATTCCTGTACCTGTGCTCCGGCTTCCCAGGGGCCCTGATGGCTTCAGCCGAGGCTTTGCCTCCAATGGACGCAGAGCTCCCCTGAAACAGATTCCTGAAATTTCAGAGTCTTCTGTGGCACAAGAATCTCGGGAATCCCAGGAACAGCGAGCCCGAGCCGCACTTCGGGAGCGCTACCTCCGCAGCCTGCTGGCCATGGTGGGCCGCCAGGTGAGCTTCACATTGCACGAGGGGGTGCATGTGACTGCACACTTTGGAGCCACCGACCTGGATGTGGTCAACTTCTACGTGTCGCAGCTGCAAACTCCAATAGGTGTGCAGGCTGAGGCACTGCTGCGGTGTAGCGACATTATTGCGTACACCTTCAAGCCTTGACGACGTCGTTGTGTTCACCTTTCTGCTGTAGGCTTAGCCAGAGTATCCCAGGTTCCTGAGTTCTGGAACTCTGGGCCCCACAAAATTTGGACCTCCCTTGGAATTTTGAGACGAACTCCAAGCAACTGTGACTTCTTGGAACCGCCCGGGTCTCCACAGTAAAATTCTGCAACCTCAGGAGTCTTTGTTCCCCTGGAAAGGAATGCTCTACCTCACAGAACTCTGAGCAACAGAAACATGGGTGGTTCCTGAAGACTGGGGGCAGGGAGGGAATAAAGCAGTGCAAATTGCAGAGTGAAAAGTTGTTTATTGAAGCAGGTGCAAAATACGGCCACCCTGAAGATACTCCCTAATACTCCCCTCCCGCCAAAGAGCCAATGTATCCAGAAAAATTCACCTCCTGTGTTTTTTTTTTTTTTTTTTTAATGTACCCTGTAGGGATAGAGCCAAATTTAGTTACCCAAGAGCAGAACCCAGTGGAGTGGGGCCCGGAAGGGGCTGGGAGGTGTTACAGGGACATCCTTTTCCCCCTTACAGGAGCTCAGATGAAAGTGCAGAGCAGAGGTTTGCACCACCGCACGTGGGAATGGCCGGTGCCACGTGACGGCCTGAAGTGAAAGATTTAGTCTCAAGTTCTTTGTGGGGCAGCTGGTCGAACAAGGCGAGGGGTGTGGCTCGCCCGGGGTTACCGGGGGCTCACTAGCACCCCCACCATCGCCCCGGACCCCAGGTGGTGTGGACCGCCCACTAGTGGCCGCTGATTCGCTTCACCGCCCAAGCGGGGAGGGGTCGGGCCCTGTGTGGCTGCGCCAAGGAGAAAGGCTGGGGATGAAGGGCTTGGGTGACGCTTCGCGCCTTCTCCGTGTCGCTCCAGCTGTGCAGCGCCCGGCCCGTGCCCCTCCCTTCCCTGAGCACAGTCGTTAATGGTCTTTCAGCAGATTAGCTTTGAAAAAAGTAATTTCTGCCCCAGAAGTTCAGGAAGTAAGTGAAGAGTTCCAGCAAGTGTCGAGGCGATCGGCGCCGGCGTCCTCGGCCGCGGCGAGCGCGGGCCAGCCCAGGGCCTCGCCACGCTCCCGCCATTCACGGCGCCCCCTCTGGCCGGTCACGGCCTCGCTCCCGAGTTGCCTTGGCAACGACGTGGCCCGCCCCGCCCCCTTCCGGGCTGAGCCCCGCCCCCGGGCAGCGGGGCGGGCGGGCCCGGCTCGGCGAAAGTGCCGAGGGGAAGGCGAAGCGAGCCTCCGCGGCCTCGCGGGGGGCGCGGCCTGAGCTGCGGGACCGCTCGCGGCGCCGGGCGCCCCCCGCTCCGCCGCCCGCCGCCCGCAGATTCGCTTCGGGCCTCGGCTCCGCTTTCTTCCTTCCCGCGGCTTTTATTTTAACCAGGGGGGTGATGCTCCGAACGGGCTCGTTTATTTTCGTTTGTGAACTTAAACTGCACCTTTCGCAACGTTATCCGAATAAAGGGCCCGACTGGCGAAACTGCCCTCCGCAATGGCAGGCTGGCGCGGCACGGGCACGGGGCGCGGCTTCCTCCCCGGGCGGGGCCCCGCGCATCCCCAGCCGGGGTGGCTCCGACCCGCTCCTCGCCTCCCAAGTTCGCATCCCTCTGTCTCTCGCCTCATCAGCTGCCCGGCTCTGCCAAGCCCTCGTTTTTATTTCTGCCAACTCCGCCTCCTCCTCCACGCCCGCGGCTCGCGACGCCTGTGAGCAGCGCGCCCGCACGGCAGACACGGGGGGGGGCGGCGCGGGGGCGGCCGGGTTCGCGCCTGCGCGCTGCTCCGGGCGACGGCGTCCGCCTCGCCCCGCCCCCCGCGCGCTGCCGTTCCGGCCCCGCAGATTCGCGGCTCACGTCGCTCTCCGCCGCGACGCCTCCCGCCGCCGGCCCCTCCCCTCACCAGCCGCCAGGCACCGCCGCCTCCCAGCAGCCCGAAGAGATTTTCTGCTTTTCTCAGCGCACGGCGGGCGCCGCGGCCCGGCACGAAAGTGCGGCTGCGAACGATCAGGCGCGCGCGGGGCTCGGGGGAGGCGCGCTCGGGCCGCCGGCGGCTGCGACTACGACGGCCCGGGGAGCGCACGGAGGCGGCGCCTGAAGCGGCGGCGGAGCCGATGCCCCGGGACGGCGGGCGGGCCCGGAGAGACGAGTCCGGGGCCCGGGGCATGTCCCCGGGGCCCCCGTGAGGAGGCGGCCGCGGCGGCGATGGAGATCCCGCCGCAGGAGGCGCCGCCCGGGCCGGGCGCGGACGGCGATGCCGAGGAGGCCCCCGCCGAGGCCCGGTCTCCCAGCCCCACGTCGCCCCCGGCCGACGGACGCCTCAAGGGAGCGGCCAAGCGCGTCACGTTCCCCTCGGACGAGGATATCGTGTCCGGAGCGGTGGAGCCCAAAGACCCTTGGAGACACGGTAGCTATGGCCGGGGCGCTGGAGCGGAGGAGGGTCGAGGGGGACCCCGAGTCAGTGCAGCGCCCGGCCCGGAGGTGGCACCCACCAAGTCACACCTGGTCATGACTGGTAGAGACAATCGTCGGCTTCGAGCTGGAGGGTGTTGGGGGTGGGGGTGGCTGTAGCGCTGGAAGAAGAGTAGCAGGTTTACTGCCCCCCCCTTTCCCCCACCATTCCCCCCAGGAAGGTGATCGTTTTAGGATCTAGAACGACGAGCCGTTAAAGTTTGGTGGCTTGGGAGATGGGGCAGGCGGTACTTCGAGTTCATAGTTCCCCTAAAGAAGGGGAGAGCGCCCAGTTAGGGGCGGGAGAGTGGGTCAGCCTTGGTGCTGAAAGGGCCATTGGAGGAGTTTGATGGGCCCATGGGGATGGAAGAAAGGTTAGGTTGCTATCTGCAAAGACTTGGGGCAGCGGGGTGGTCATGTCACTCACTCTCTTGGCAGAAAGAAGGAAGAGGAATAAACCTGGACTATGGCTGGAGAGGAGTGAATCCTGGGGATTGGGAAAGGATCTGATGATAAATTCCCAGAAAAGGAGCAGAACTGGCGGTCATTTGCCAGGGTGGGTGAGAGGAGGTGTTAGAAATGTTGGCATTAAGAAGAAGAAAAGGCACTCCCAAAAGAGGAAGCAGAAACATTATCCGTCTCTTAGGAGCAGAGGAACTTTGGGGCCCCGCTCTGGAAGGATTTTATTTTGTATTTTTTTTTTCCCCTGGCAAAGAAATCCTGGTCAGTAGAAGATGGTGAGAGAATGAAGTTTGGGAGCTCGAGGTGTGGGGGAACGGTCCCCTGGAGAAGGTCAGGTTATTGTTGGAACGGGAAGGGCAGCTGCAAGAGTGTGTACCCCGGGGGCTGGCAAAGTGGAGAGTGGCCCCATAGAAGGACAGCGGAGTTGAGTTTCTCCCTGCCCTGAACAAGTCTGTCAGTCTTGCTAGGGTGGAGCCTGCCAAGAGAGGGATCAGACAGACTGACCCTGGCTTTATAGAAGCTCCCTGGGGAAAGAGGAGGAACTGTCACAGTATGTGGGCAGCGGACAGCTTGGTGGCTTTGATGTGACAGTGAGACGCATGGTGGCTGGAAGCTGGACACACAGGGAGCCTGCCATGAGTGTTGAAGAGTTATGGGTAATTTAAGATTCTTGGCTTTGGGAGTCAAGGAAGCCCTTGGGCTGTAGGCCCCAGGGATAGGTGGTCGCTTTGGGGTTGGCGGGCTTGGTGGCGAGGAAGGGAATAGTCGCATGGGCCCTGCCAGCAGCTTGGTATCCACTCCAGCGAGTTCAGGGCAGAAAGGGGCAAAGACCTGGAGAGGCAGAGCAGGGAGGTGGACAGCAGGGGCTCCAGTTCCAGTCCTGACTCCCATTACCCACATCACGACCTTGGACTAGTCGCCTCACTCTCTTAGCCTCAGTTTTCCCATCGGTAAAGTGGCACAGGGCTGGAGAGAGGACTCAGCGGGGTTGGGTATGGAAAGTCATCAGCCAGGGCCTGTCTTTGTCAACTGGCCATTCGTGTCGGTCATTTTAGGGGCCAGTCTAGCGGGGTGGGGCTCTGGATGTTTCTGCTTCCCAGGCTTCCAGGAACGGGATGGAGATGGCAGTCAGTGTTTGGTCACTGGGTAAGAGGGAGGGAAGACGGTCAATTTGTGGGGGTAGCTGATGGGATTGGCATGGCGTGAGGAAGGGGTAGCTTCGGGCCTGCAGGTTCCCAGTAGAGGAACAGCTGTGTGTAGCCAGCTGTTTGCCTTTGAGTAAGCGGTTTTTCCTCTCTGAGCCTCCTGTTTCGTTCTCTGCAAATGGAGGTGCTAATTTCTACCATGGGGTAGCGGCGAGGATTAAGTAAGATAGTTCTCCTTCGTGCCTGCCACATAAATAGCAGCTGCTGTTATCCAAGCAGATTCAGTTTGTGGTTTTCATGGGCTGCCTTGGAGAGGCAGTGGGGGAGTTTGAGGGGAGGGGAGAGAGGGCAGTTGGAGCCCTGCTGGGAGGAGCTGAGGGCACTGCTGATGATTGGTCTTGGTTTGGCTGGGTGAGGGGAGAAGGAGGTGCTGCCTGGGGGGCGGGGGGGGGGTGGTGTCTCTCACTGCTGGAAGCTGAAGAGGAATGGTGAGGACTGGGCAGGGCTTGCTCCCTGGGAGGAGTCGGTGGGTCCGAGGTGCGGACGTGGCTCCCGTGCCCTGCTGGTGGAGTTGGTCTGCCCTAGCTGGGGAGAGGGGTTGAGGAGGATTTGGGCTGGCAGTGCAGGAGTCGGGTGGTCTTGGGCCCTGGCAGGGGAACCGTCATTGGTGAAGTTGGTGAGTTTGGGCAATGGGTTTAATGTTCAGGACTGCATGATGCGGCGGCCGGCAGTGCCGAGGAGCAGGGGGCTCGCCTCTGCCAGGGGAGGCCAGTGGAGTTGTTCGCTGGCCGGGTCTGAGGGAGGTGGGGGCCCACTGGGTCACAGAAGAGGAGATGCTGTGCGGTCGAGCCCAGGGGCTCCCTGTTGGAGAGGCCAGAGGGACTCCGGGGGCCGCCAGCAAGGCAGCCCGTCCTGGGGGAGGGCTGGGAGACTTAGAGTCTGAAAGGGGGTGTCATGTGAGCTGTGCTGGTGACACCACCCCAGGCAGTGGGTGAGGAGAGTTGGAGGGTCGGCCCTGGGGGAGGGTCATGCAGAAACTTGGAGAGAGGGAGAAATGAGGATGTCCCGTCCCCCACTTGGGCCGGGAGGTGCAAGGAAGCCCCTGGGCGGGAGAACACGGTGCTAGCGGCATCGGGAGACCCCAGCGCAGCGTGCCCATTCAGCAGAGCCTTGCCCTCCATGGAGGACAGCTCAGCCAGGCTCTGACAGCGCCTCTGATGGGGCAAAGAAGGCCTGGGGTGGAGAAGTAGTCGAGCTGGGTGGGAGCCTTTGGGGGTGTCTGTCTGAGGACAGGCCCTGCTAGAGGTCATGCATCGGGAGATCTCCTAATGGGGCATTGCTGGAGGCCAGAGGATCTGGAGGCGGGAGACTGTGGGAGGGTCTCTGGCCGCAGCCAGTGCTCAGAAGGGCCTAGCGCCCTCTCAGCGTCCCCACCGCCGCCACGGCTGCTTATTTTCCTCACGCCTGCATGGCCAGCTCGTGTCGCCCTGCGCTGCTTGTGGTGGTAGCCTTCCCCCCACCACAGCGGACACAGACTGCACCCCTGTACCCTCATCTCCGAGTTCGTGGCCCTTCCAAGGACATGCTGCGATAGCGCTTGAAGGAGCACGGACGGGCACGTGCGCAGCTATTTGGAAGGGGTGAGGCCAGGCCGTATCTCAGATCCATCTTATCAGAGTGTCATCGGAGGGGGCTGGGCAGCCGGGGAAGTGGAAAGCGGTCACTGGCCTCTGTGGCCTCCCGTGAAGCCCTTGTTCTTGCTGAGCCTTATTTGTTTCCTCATCTGTGAAGTGATTCCTGCCCCGACATCAGAACCTGGTGGGGCGGGTCCCCATGGCGAGCTCTTACGCGGGGATGGGGGAGGCAGGGTGGAAACTGTGAGTGGATCAGGCTGCCTCAGTATTGTCAGGCTGAACTCATGTGTGCTCCAGGCTCCCTGGGGGGTGCAGTGTGCAGTGGGGGTGCCAGTAGAGGAGGGGCCAGGCGGGCGCTCCCCGTCCCATCCCATCCCATCCGCGGGGGCAGGCCATGTGGTCCCAGCTCTGAGGGCCAAGACCAGACTCGTTCAACGACAGGCGTGACCTGCAGGCCAGCTACAGGAGTGACCTGAGCTCAGCCCAGTCTCAGCTGCGCGCTGCTGTGCGAGGAGGAGCGGAGGGGAGGAGGGGTGTGCAAGGCAGGCGAAGGGGATCCACACTCCGGGAGGCTTGTCTCCCCAGCCCTCCAGTTCTGCCAGTGACTCATTCCCCACTCCCTGACCTCCAGCCAGAGAGTCGGTCCTGGAGGGGGAGCTTTGCCCACGAGAACACTCCTGTGAGGTGGCGGTATCTGCAGCGTGAGGGGATCCCAGACTTCAGTGGGGGGTGGAAGGAGGGGCGGTGGGGCAGTAGCCGTGGTGTTCTTGCCTGGGAAGCAAGGAGAGTGGAGCGCCTCCCTGTTTGCTCTCCTGAAACCTGTGCTGCAGATGCAGCCCTCAGAACTGGTCTGACGAGTAGAAATGCACCTGTCAGTGGCAGACAGAAGCCCGCAGGTAAAGAGTAGGCTCTTTCTGGTCTAAGTGGGAGTAGAGAACGGGGTCTTGGAGGGCGCCTCCATGCTTTCTCTGGCTTCAGCCTCCTCCTACTGCCGACATCACCACTCTCTGCCGTGTGACTTTGGGTGATTTGCCATGTGACTTTGGGCAACTGTTCTCTCTGGGCTGCAGTTTTTCTGTCTGTAAAACGCAGCCGACACTAGTACCTGCCCATAGGTGATCTCGGCTTAAGTGCGACAGCAGCCCCTGGCGAGCGCTCAGCAACGTCTCCCTTGTTGCCCTGGCACTGCCGTTTTGCTGCCCCCACCCCTCGGTGTCTGTTTCACGTCTCTGTGTGCATTTGTTCCGGGCTTTCTCCCGGTCTGGATCCTGCTTCCCTGGGGCCTCCTCCCCCCAGATGAGTGCCCCGACCGTGCCTGACCTGGTGTGGGGTAGACCTCGGGCTCCAAGCTGGACCCCGCGTTAGGAGCTGGATGCCCGCGAGCAAGTGGCCCGATCTCTGAGCGAAAATTGAATCAGCTCATCCTGGCCCACCAGCCTGAGGCAGCGAAAGGACCCCGGTTCTAGATTCCAGGGGTTAGCACAGCCTCTCCAGGCTGCAGGCCCCTCTAGAATGGGCGGCCCCCACCCAGCCCCCCGCGGGCGGGACAGGACAGCTTGATGGTGCTGTGGTGACCAGGCCCTTCGCGCGCCCAGACCCCGCGGGCTGCCCCCCCCACCCCGACTTTCCACCTCCGCCTCTGTATTTGTGTTCGCATCGTGTTTCCCTCTTCAAGGGCGGAGACTGCATGCGAGTCACCTCCGTGCCCGGTCTGG